AGGGGTAAATTTTTAAAATTTTTCAGTAGTACCTATTCTAAAGCGCCGCTAAAAACAAAAGAAAAATTAAGGAAAAACTAGAGAATTTTTAAGCAAAATCTGTTTTCGAAAAAATCGATTTTGGTGTTTGGTGCAACTCTTAAACAAATGACCGAAGGTAGGTACATGAAGTTTCACTGAATGTTTATATTAGCATTTTCTATACACCATACAATTTTTAAAATAATTTGACTCTTTTTGAGCTGTTTACGGATATTGTCAGTTTTCAATATTTTTAGTTTTTTTTTCTATAAATATCAATAAAATTTTAATATTTGGGTAAAAAAGCGTGAAAATTTAATGCAAGGCTCCTGATATATTGTTACAATAGCAGTTGAAAAATATTAAAAATACATAAGTACAATTTTTTTTTTATAAGGATTTAAAGTTCAACTTTTATAGCTAAGGATTGAAAATTTGAAACAAGATTCCACGTAAATAGGTTAAACATAAATTCCTTTATTCACCTAAATATCATCAAATATACTTGGTAATATCATAGGCTGACTCACCGTTTTCGCTCGGAATCGTTTTTCTTATACAATGATATTATATCATTGAATTAATATTTAACACCATCCATTACAGAGCCTTGCATTAAATTTTCAAGCTTTTTTAACCAACAAATACAATTTTATAGATATTTTTAGAAAAAAAACTAAAAAAAAATGGAAAACGAAAATGTCCCTAAACACTTCAAAATAAATCAAAATATTTTGAAAATGTTACGGTATATAGAAATTGCAAATATAAACAACCAGTGAAAATTTCATGTATTTAGGGTAATTTGTTTTAAAGTTACACCAAAAACCAAATTCGATTTTGCGTAAAAATTCCCGATTTTCCTTAATTTTTTCTGTTTTTCTTTTCGCTTTTGAAAATAACTGGGAATTTTAAATTTTGACCTCCCCAATGCACCAACAATATTCACTTTCCAATCGCGCAAGATACTAAAGTTGAAAGTCGAAGCATTATTTCAATTACTTATCGTGTACAGACACAAAAAAAAAAATTTTAAATTTAAAAAAGGTGCTCTGCTGTACAGTAGGTTACAAGTGGGTCACTACTCACTGTATAATGGATGGTACTAAATTTAAATTTGTATAAGAAAAACGATTCTGAACGGAGACGTTATGTCAGTCTAGGTATAGGTAAGACATATTATATAGGTACTTATCTATGGTATTAAAAAAAATTGACATATAATAGGTACTTATAATAAATTACAAATTAATCATATCACAATATCCAATAGGTACTTATAACGCGTTATACATCAACAACAAACCCTGATACTATCATAGATATATAATAGTGTACTTTAAAAGTTTCAAGTATCCACGAATAATACAATCACAACAAAATAACTAAAATAGTTATTCTAGGTTTTTTTAATGTAATTTCGTCCAAATTTGAACTTAAAATGATTATAAAAATAAACTGTGCTTATGTATTTTTAGATTTTTTTGGTAACAGAATTAACTTCTTATGTGAAATCTTTTTATACATTTTCAATCCTTAGATATAAAAGTTGAACATTTTATAAATTTTTAACTACAAAATAATTATTCAATTTTAACACACATCATTGTAAATTCAATATATTCATCTCAATCGGCTAAATACTTAGGTCTGACAATTGACCGTCGACTCACATGGTCACATCATATTAAAATTAAAAGGCTAGCCCTAAATGCACGACTCCGCATCCTCAAAACTCTAATTACCAAAAACAAATACACTCCATTAAATACTAAACTCTTAATTTATAAATCCTTGTTTAAGCCTATGTGGACCTATGGTCTTCAACTCTGGGGCAATGCCAAAAAATCTAACACTAATAAAATTCAAACCTTCCAAAATAACATCCTTCGTAAAATCACAAACTCTCCTCCATATATTTCAAACCTAACTTTACATACCGTTCTAAAAATTAAAACAGTCCACAAAGAAGCAGTAACCTTTTACAAACGTTTCCACTCAAAACTCCCTTCTCATTCCAACCCCCTCATTTCAAACCTTTCCACATTCACAATTCCTGGGAACCCTCCTAGGAGGCTCAGAAGAAAATGGTGTCGAGATCTTCTCAATGAGTAACACACAATAATGAGCAAACATTAAAGAAAAAAAAAAAATTAAAAAAAATATCAAGCAAGGGTAGTGTAACCACTGGGTGACTCCTCCCATCACGTTTTCATGTTATAAACTTTTAAAATATCACATATTCTTATTGTTCCTAAAAGAACAGATTGTATATACCTTATAAATAATAATAAAAAAAAAACATTACATGTATCTAATGTTATTTGTTTTAGAGTTACACCAAAAACCAAAACAATTTTGTCAAAAACCGATTTTAAACCATAAAAATTAATGTTTTTCCTTAAGTTTTGTTTTATTTACCTTTCGCTTTTGAAAACTATTGAGAATTTCCAATTTTTAACTGCTGAAAGCACCACTGCACCAACTAGTAGAATTACTTTCCCATCGAACAAGATACCATTGAAGAAAATCGAAGCTTATCGTGTTACTGCCTCAAAAGGTGATGACAGACACAAAAAAAAAATCAAACATCATTGTAAATTTAATACATTCATAGCTAAGAATCTAAAATTTAATTTCAATGACAAATTAAAGATTTTCATAAATACTTTGATAGGAGAGTAAGGTTAGTAAGATATTGTTAGTAAATGTAAGTATAAAAATTCAAATATTTTATTTTGAAACAATTATTTACTCTTTACAGTAAATTAACAATTTAAAAAACACATATTTTTGAAAAATAAATAAATAAATTATATAAAAGAGATCCAAATATGGGGAAAACAATAATATGAAATAGCTTATATTAACAACAAATGTTATAATACAAAACAATACCACTATAACTTAGTATGTTAACTTAGAACATATAATTACTCTTGTTTTACCCTTAACTATGTTCAACTACAAAAGTAGAAGACTTTAAGTGATAGAAAATAACTTATAGAAAATAATTTTGACAATAATAAATTTTAAGTTTACTTCTCGCAGTATGGTTATACAAAAAATGTGTTGAATTTTTATCATTTTGCTTAAATTTATGGTAAAATAGTTTTTTGATAATTAATTAATTTTATTTTTACCCATATTTGTTCTTTATTTTCTATATCAATTAAAAATTAATTTAATTTAGGAGAATGATTGACTGTTAAAAATACAAAATATATGGGGTTGCTGCTTATATAATTAAAAGTAATCATAATAATAACAACAAAATAAAATGAGCATAATTTTATAGAGTTCAGGAAATATGAGTTTACCTAGTTCAGTTATTGGCAATTGAATCTTTGTTATCGAGTAGAAGAGCTACTGCTTGCCTAACACTCATTTCCCACGAGTCAAGTATATGAGATACTGTAAAACGGACTGGCATCAACATCATCCTAGATTCAAACACATCTTTAACACACATGAGAAATGATGTGCCACCATAGTCGTTGGACGAAATTATACATGCAGGATTGGCAGTGGGATAATTCTCATAAACAATTATGTTAATCGGAGGTACGCAAGGTAGATTTTTATCATCCAGCCAACACAACAGGCGGATACAAGAAACTCCACTTGGACGAACTGGATCTAAAGACACCTAAAATCAAATGTTTGGTCAGAAAATATATATTATATACCATATTTTGAAAATGTGTTAATTTGTTACATTGTATTAAAAATATATTTATTTTATTTTACCTTAAAACGTTGATCGAGTCTTGCAATTTCACCTTCTAATGCTTTGGGTATAATACTTTGAACTTCATTGGAATTTTCATTTCCTGCATAAGGTGGTGGTGACCTTTAAAATGCAATTAATAATTAATTAAATAATCAATTACATTGTTAACATTAAAAAATTTAACTTACAAAGGTCGTCATGACTTAATCACAGGTAAAATAATCAGTGAGAAATGTATAGGCGTATTGCATGATGGATTGTTAACAATTAGGCTATTTCTATCTACCAGTATACAATAGATATAAAATATAATTTTTGTGAGTGTCCCAAAATATATTTTTAAAGTAAAAATGTTCTCACTTCAGCGTGAAGTCGTAATTATCTTTTCTATTAGCATAGCACTTGAGTGAAAAAAACAAAATCAAACGTAAACACAATTTACTTCTGGTGTTTAAAAACATATTTTGTCACTAGGTAGTAGGTACGTATCTACCCTTATTCAAGACTATCTTTTCACACCCAGTAAAAAAATTTCGTTTACTCTTCAAAAATTGAATTATCGTTCGAATTATTCCTGTGCATGAATTTATTCTGGTTAATGTTCCTCATTTAAAGAGAATTTGAGACGTTATAATGCTGGAATCCAGGATAATAAATTAATGCAGATAAGACGAAAAAAGTTACAATATTATGAAAATATTTAATAGTATGCAAAAGTACATTATTTCGATTCCTATAAGTCTTGTTTTAAATAAAGAGGTTTATTTTTAATTTAACATTTATTTGATCGATACACTAAATTAGTTTCTTTAAATAAAATAATCTTGGTTATTTTTATATAAAACCATACTAGATACAATAGTTTTTTATGATATAAGTATTATTATAATATTATATAGTATTAATAAACTTTTTTTTTTTTTTTTTTACATTTTGAAATCGGGGCCTGGGGGTGGCACTGACGTTAGTCATTTCACCCCCCAGGTCCCATCATTTATTAGTAATATACATGCAACATTTTGTGGTCTGCACAGGGACAATACCCCTGTGTTAACCCGCACAAGATTATTTACAATTTATGAAGGGCTCTATCCCTTCAAGTTTGCCTTCGGCGTACATCAAAAATAATATATATATAAATTATGTTTTTTGGTGTCTTCTTCTGGGTTCTCGAGCCGACCAACGTCCGCCGCTCTCGACTTCTCGTGCTGTTTTGCCTTTTCACTTCAGGTCCCTGGTGCCGTCTCTACGGTGCAGCTGCGACAATTGCTTGTCTCCTTCTTTCCTCCTCGGTCTTTTTTTGTAGCACTTCGCGTACGAATCCGTTGATGGTATCCCACGTCTGTTTGTCCTTCAACATGTGGTCCATCATGTTCTCGGGTTGAAGTCTTCCACCGATTTCTGTCTCCACGCGGAATCTTCGAGTCTCCCAGGCGTCGCATTCGAAGATCGTATGAAATGCGTCGTCGTCGTGGTGACCGCAGTACCAGCATTCTGAGGTTCCCAGTTTTCCTATTTTATGCAAGTAGTGGCTGAAGCATCCATGGTTAGTCAGGGCTTGGGTCAGCCAATAGTCTGTGTGCCCGTGCCTCCTGTTCCTCCAACGTGAGATGTCCCTGATTATCTTATGCGTCCATCTGCCTTTCGCCTCATCGCTGTCCCAACGGCCCTGCCATGTCCTGTTCAGCATGCTTTCTGCTTCTTCTCTCACCTCACTGGTTTCTGGTCTCATTCGATTGTCGTATATCGCTTTTCGTTTTAAAGCCTGGAGGTCGATGGGGGAAATTCCCGTTATTACTAGGACTGCATCTGTGGATGAAGTGCGGTAAGCTGACGCGACCCTCAGCGCGATTAGTAATATAATACCTACATGCAACGTATTTAGTGCATAAAAATGTCTCAACTATAGACATAAACTTATTTATCTGATGCCATTATTTTCTTAGTTGCATTTAATTTGAATTAATAATTTATCATTTTATCGTTTATTTTTAAAAAAAATGTAAACTTATTTACGTTTGTAATATAGATAGAGTAGGTATTAAAATGTTTTATATTACAATATATTATGTTTACGTAATCTTTGAGAATTATCACATACCATTTTTTTTCTCCAAACGTATTTACTCTGCACTGTACTTTAGTAGATACAAGTTATATAATGTAACTTATCATAAAAATAATATATATGTATATAACTTTGAAAGATAACATAATATTGATATTCATTGTGTCACTAAATCATATTGATGCCCACATTTATGATGAAACTGTATGTAGTTGGTACTGTATTTGAATCACTTTAGTCATAAGATAATACAATTTAAATATTTCTTTGTTAAATTTTTTCCACTGTCCACTTAGAGCGCACATTATGGTTTTGTTGAAACTTTTTTTTTTTATCGGTTTTTAAGCCTTTTAATATATTTCTTTACATAGTATTATACTATTCTGTATTAATATAATATATGTATATGAATACTATATAGGTATAATAAGATGATAGTATAATTATTAGACTAAATATTTTTTAAAAATTCCTAGTGTTAACTAATTTTTTTATCAAAAGTATTTTGTGCCACAGTCTCTATTTTTTTATGTCTTCACTTGCAGTTTAAATTATTGTTTAATTCAATTTGATTTAAAAGAGTTTCCTATATTTGGTTATAATATTAAAATCGAATTAATTTTCTTATGTTCATTATTTGGAGTTAATCTTAGTCTGAGTATTAAAGATACTATTAAACATCATTAATCACATGATTGCAATATTATTATTACTCAATGTTTTACATTGATCGCATTACTTGTAGATAGGTTCCAATATTGTGGACGGATAAGTTAGGACTTGGTTTCTAACAATCTTCTGGGCTCATATTATAATATACTTATATAGATCGCATTGTATAGGTAGATGTAGGTAATTAAAGACTATAATATTATTTATTTTAATGTTTTCGGTTTTACTATTTTGCAGGGTGTCACGAAAAGTCGTCGGACGACCACGACACTGACAGTGGATGCGGCGATTACTGTGGCAGTGGAGAAAAGAGTTGTTGTTCGTACCGGAACAACAGTCGGTCACCATTATTGGAGACGACGGCTATCGATTCTGCAGACACAGTATTGGTGGACGACTGGCAGACGGTGGACTTTGTGGATGCCTCTCAGCCGACCTCGATGGCGCCACTTCCGGCCGGAAGCGACACTTCTATCCGGTGCGTGGTGCAACCGCCACCCGACATGTTGGCCACGCACGTGTGCGTTGAAGTCGGACTGGTCAAACAGCATGCCACCACCTCGGATGGTTCCCCGACAATCGTAGTGTGCAGCGTGGATGTAGAACCATGCCGGCAACCACATATGTTATTCATGTCGTCGTCGACGACACCCGAACCTGGGACAGACGGCTCCGGTGGTGACAGTAACGACGATGACGTTCTGGACCGAATATCCCAAGACCTGGACTATCTGCTGAACCGGAAGAACGTCGTCGACTCGAACGTGGTCGAGTCGGATGGCGACGGTGACGCTGATCGCAACCAGAAAAAGAAAACCAAAGACCTAACCTAACCCTGAGACGCAAGACTCGTCGGCTTTGAAGAAACTCCAAACGCCAATGCAAACTATATCCGATCATACCCCAGCGCCCACCGAATCACACTTACGCAGGACGTTGATCACGTTTTTGGTTACCGTTTGCCTCGAATTTATAATAATTTATTTAAATGTTAAATAATTACTATTTACATTTTTTTTTTTCATATTACAATTATGAATTGTACATCTATTTAAAACATATTTGTTCACGATATTGTATAATAATATGATCGTTGTATTATTATTAATACGTTCGTTTGTCGAATATATTACTACTATTATTATTATTTTTATTATCATTATATCGTTGTTCTCAAGTGTTTTGTGTACAGCTATAAAATATTATCATTATTATTTAGACTGTTTTTTGTTGGTCTTTTTTTTCATCATCGTATGCAACAGGCGATATTTTTCGAAACAAAAAACTGTGTCATTGTTGTGTCATTCGTATTTCATAAAATATCATTTACATTCTGCCGTATAATACATATTATACAGATTATAATGTTATTTAAATGTATGTATTACTATTATTATTATTATTTGTAATATTAAGGTGTCACGGGTTATAGACTATGCAGCACGATTGTTTGTCGATTTTTCGTCGGTCTTTAACGAAAATGTGTTTTTTCGGGTCCCCACTTGAATCATATTTACCTGAACGTACCAACATTTTATTTTCCCGCAACCTAAACCAACAATACAGTGCCTATGAAATGAACAACTCTATTGTGAACTATGTGACGTTGCCGTTGGTAAATTCAATTTTCAATTATTTTTTCAAGAAGACAATAATCTTTTAAATCACCTTTATTTGTAATGCGTATAAGTTTGAAAAAAAAAAGAATAATAATGGCATGTTTGTACACGTGCAGTTTTATTTAATAAAAATATTGAAAAACATGTTTGTGTAATATTTTTTAAGAAACACGGAACAGATATTATTTTATTCGATAAGCAGATTGAAAACCTAAGAACCAGAAAATCAGGGCTTGAAATTGATATTTGATACCGATTTTGAATACTGGTTAAAACCGTTAAAAACCGAATACAAAATCGAAAAAACCAATTCCGGTACCTAATTGAAATCGGAAAAATTCAAAACCAAAAACGAAATCAGAAAAAATAAATACTGATATCCGAAACCGAAATCGAAATCTTGAAATATAATTTCGGTTTCATGCCCTGGTCATTATAATAATATAATAATAATGCAGGACTTGATACCGATTTTGAATACCTGTTTAAACCGTTAAAAACCGAAATCGATACCGAAACCGAAAATAAAATCGAAAAAAATCAATACCGGTATTCAAAACCAAAAACGAAATCAGAAAAAATAAATACCGATATCCGAAATCGAAATAAAAATCGGAAAAAATAAATACCGATATCCAAAACCGATATGCAAATCATATAATTATATTATAACATTTTTAATACATTTTTATTTTTAATTGTATTTACTAAATATTAATATATACGTTATGACTAAAAGTTTCAAAGTATACTGATGGATAATATATTTTTTGAATTTATTTATTTATTTTTTACAAATATACGGGTTTCCCCTTTAGCTTTAAAATAACGGTTCAATTGTAGACAGTTAAAACTTAAAACAATATAGCCAAAATTGTTGTTTTTCGTTGAAATATCAAACATTGTAAAAGTTGTAAATTTTTCAAATGTCTATAAAAATAAAGGTTAATAAACATTTTGAGTATTTTATAATGGTGATAAATGATAAGTAAGACTAATGAGGATACTTTTCAGTTCACCAAACATTTTCAAACTAAATCGTTTAGTTTTCAAATATTTATTTATTTCCCTGTGGGGTTATTAGCTTAAATATAAAGGCAAATATATATTATATAAAAATGCACTAAATCAAATAAAAATTATCTAGATACACTCTCAAAGAAAAACAACACTAAGTAGTAGGTATATATTATAATAACGAAATACATTTCAGTAACTTAAATAATTATCATTGGTTTAAGAAGAACTTAATCATTGTCATCATCATAAAAAGGAATTTCAATTTATTCTCCAAGGGTATTTTTGAAAATATAATAACATTGACCAAACATTAGGATTTCTTAACTAAATACCTATTACTTTTATGTTTTTATTTTAAAATCTATATTAATAAAGGATAGGTACTTCCTTTCTGTCTTTCTTGACGCACAATAGGGATGTAGTTATAGATTTATACGTTTTTACTATTTAAATTATACTTTATACATAATAGGTATTTTAGTATTTTACAAGGTTCGAGGTTTTTGAGATGAATAATATTAATATGGTAGGTACTCAAATTCAAATACAACGATCTTATTATTATTATTATTTACTTTGAGGGGGGGCTGGGGAAACGTTTCCTCAGCCCCCCACAGGGAAATTGAATTTTCCGGAGTACCCGATGTCAAACAAATTCTGATTCGGGTCAAACAAATTCAAACAAATAACGTACTAAATATTGTCAAAAGAAAATTCACGAAAATTGATATGTGGGGGGCTGGGGAAGCGTACGTGTGCCGTTGCCCAGATTCCAGAATAAAAATTCTGATTCGCACATTCGTACATTATCAGGTAGGCAATCTACCTGCGGTAGATCGCGGACCCCGTGTTGTTTGTGGGGGGGGGGTTTGCGTTTGGGCGAATCGCCTTTTTACCCGTATAATAAAAGTAATGTGTTTGGGCGAGTTAACCGAATTTCTTATAATGTGTTTGGGCGAGACAAATTTGGTTTAGACAAATTCAAAAAAATAAAATATTGTTAAGAAAATATGGTACCAATTCCGAACTTGGTTTTTGGCTTAAACATTTTTTTGGATTACCATATTTACTATCCAATGAAGTAGGCGATGGTTTTATGGAACTCATGTCAATTGCTCCAAAAACTCAAAACATCATCGAATTTACAGATTATATAGGTACTTGATACATACCTATATTTCAGACGAGGCTATTTTTCCTCCTTATTTATGGGCAAGAAAACCTGGAAATGATCCAAGATCCAAACACAACAAATGGAGTCGAATCATTCCATGCACATTATAATTCCCAGTTTTATTCATCGCATCCAAATGTATTTCAAGTAATTAATGTGTTACAATAAATTCAAGTAGA